AAAAATGGGCCAACCCCCCCTTGGAGCCCAAGGCAACCAATGCCCAGCGACAACGGATGGGCCCCACACCGCCACAGAGCCCAGGACCAGCACCTGGGAATGTCTCAAGGTCCTGGCTCTTGGATGGTTTTGTGTAGCAACTTACCACCGGAGCTGGGTGTCTTGTGTCTCAAAAGCAACCTGACACATGGCCGAATCCAAAACGCGGAGAGTGGGCGTCAAGAAACTGGCCCGGTACTCAGCAACATGCCTCGCAGGCCTCAGAAGATCCACGCGAACGCGGGTTCAGGAGTGCTTGTTCACGGAAGCGACTCTTGAGAGCGTGTTGCTGTTCCGAGGGCTGAGGTAAACCACACGAGCTAAAGACACCCAAACCTGTGTTTCTGGCGGAGACAACAAGGCTCTGAGTCTCAACACTCTCAGCCGTTTAGCTCAAAATCCAAGAACCAAAGATCTTCCGCGGTCCAGTTCCGTGAGGAAACAGCAAAGTGGGACTTGGAAAATCCAAAAGCTCAACCATTCTCGTTGGCTACTCCCCCCAAAAACGAACACGGAAGCCCCAAAAGGCGTCGCCCAACAGGAACGATTCTTTCCTTCTACAAGGGGGTGGTTTTCGGATTCCAGTGACACTCCTGCAAATGAACATGGAGCCTGAAAAGCGGCTTCAGAAAAGAACATTCCCTCAGTCCAAGAATCCCCCTGCCCACGCCCCGCAGAGACCCGCAGACCAGACCCAAAGCAGAAATGTAGCACGGAAAGCATATCTAATACCTGTTTACACGGCTTACTATGACTAGGCGATACGTTGAGGCCGTCGCATGCGTTTACTTGCGTGCTACGAAATCATTATTGCGCGCGTGCTGGCACATGGTCACGCACCCGGTGCTTCCTGACCGCTTCGCTCATGCAACTTTTGAGAGGGCCAAAAAGAAGACGCCATGACCAATGCAGGTTGGGCCATCTCAGATTCAGCAGCTCCAGTTGAACAACCCGGACAACAGCAGTGTCTGCGGTGCACTGTGCAAACGGCCCACGAAGAAGACCCACTCCACGTCAAACTCATGGTTAAAAGGCTCAGAATATGGTTGCAGGGACGGGCTAAAGCATTGACTCTCAAGAAAGGTCAGCTCTGCAATCTCCGAAATGAACGCCTCTGGGTGCTCGCCGTTCCGGCCCTCATTCAACTGCAGCCAACAGTCAACACAGTCAACAAAACTATCTGCAGAGAAGGGCGTGTGCTTCATATTTCGGAAGTTCCATGTCCACTCCAACAGCGCCTTCTTGTCTGTCGGAAACTTTGTGGAAGTGTCATATCCGTGAAACCTTTGCAGAATAGAGGTGTCCTCCCATTTTTCACGCTAGTAGACCACGCTTTCCAGAAAAGCCTCTGTGCTGATTCTGGGCGGTTCCCGTCAACCTCGCCGTCGGGTGCAGAATCCTTTGAATGGACAGTGGATGCGGGCCTTCTTGAGCATGTGCGCTTCAAACCATATCCAAGTCTCTGTTTCTATCTCGACGCTCTCCACATGCTGCATGTTGATCTTGTTGAGCATGGCCTCTAATGTTAACCCAGGATTAATCAACCCGTCCCATTATTAGGGGGGTGTTCCTTTAAAAAGAGATGAATCCCCGCTAAAAGGGGACACCCCCTATTAATCAACCAGGGGATTATTCATCTGGGGTTAACATTAGAGGCCAGGCGCAAGAAGATCAACATGAACGGCCAACTGCCGAGCTTGAGCCGAACACCAACATGAAGAATGGAGCCCTCCAAGGTTGACCCGATTCAACAACACAAATATTTGACTTACAGGCTTCCACGAGAAAAACACAACAAATAACCTGTTGCATTTTGAGGGAACACATCATCTACGGGAGAAAGAGTATTGGGATGTTTCACAAGATTCGCAACCCCACCAAAGCTGAGCAAGGTCCGTCATCCCTTCAAACAGAGCCTTTTATTGACGCGAGCCCTGAGCGCCCGCGCAGCACGCGTCTGCCTGGCCAAACTGGAAACTTCAGGGGGCTTAAGTCTTGCCCTTCAAATGGTTGTGGGAGTCAAGGACGTATTTCCGAGGGGGAGGGGGGGAGTGGGGGAGTGGTAGGGTTCTGGATTGAAAATACTGATAATACTGGATGCGTCGGCGCTGGGGGGCGTCCTTTGCCAAACACGAGCTCCCACTATTGACCGGCCGTGTCAATAGCAATCCAACATGAGCTGCCCATTGTGATGACGCGCCAACTCATGGGCGTCTCTTGATTTATTGTTTTTGGCGGGGTGTTTTCAAGGGGAAAAAAACACAGCCCGCGTTGGCCGCTCCCTCGGAGACCAACTCGTACCCGATTCCATGCCGGCAGCACGGGGTGCCCACACAGAGGTCCGTCTCCGTGTGGCAGCGATTCACCCAGAGGTTCCTGCTTGGAAACGTGGAACCCGAAAGAAATCCATCCAAAAATCCCCATGGGAAACCAGCCCAAAGTTGTTTTTTTGGGGCGACCACCAAGCGAACCCTTTGGGCCTTGGGGAGAAAGAGGGGATTCCTGCAGGTCGGCTTCCTTTTGGAGTTCCAACACCATCCCAGTAGTTTTGCTCAACCCAGTTGAGCATTCCCAAGTAAATGGTAAGTCAGAGCTCGAGGTTCGCGTGACCCTGTGACAAACAGAAACCCCATGAAGGCGGGGACTGCCATGAAGGCGTCCAAAAGTTCTCGGCGAATCAAACACCGTTAGGAAAAACACATCTCAAAGAGAAAACAACCTTGGAAAGCCACTTAGACAAAACTCCACACTTAGAATCTTAGCATAAAGAAACACAATATAAGTAAACAACTTGTCAAACAGCTTCTAAGTCAAGACAACCGTAGAAACACAACACCCTTGACACCGATCATACCTTAGTGGCAACCAACAATCATGAACAACATCTTTGGGGAACAACTGGACAACCCTGAGAAAGAAAAATACCTTGGAAACATCTTGGGGTAAAATCATGGAACGCTCTAAGAAAGCAAACACATAGAACCAGAGGATGGCCCATGGAACAAAACCAATCTAAACCAATTGAACCCATCTGCGTCTAAGCAAACTAACCTGTCCACCATGGACCACAGGGTCCTGGTTTGGACCGTTCTTCTGAAAAAACGGGCCATCTATGTCTGGCGGCTTCCGAACGTGGACCGGGTGGACCGGGTAACCTAAGCGGGCCAAGACGACCGACTCCGGGCGCCCGGCATGTGCTGCACCGCCTGCAGCTGGGCAGGCCGCACAGCCAGGCCCAGCTCCTGAGGTGCAGTTCGAGCCCCAAGACTCTCGGCCGCCCTCGGCCATTTCCACGGCCATTTCCACCGGTCCGGGAGGGGTGGTGCCTCACCCACCTCACCAAACGTCCAATTAGGCATCCCCCAGCTTGAAAATGAAATTGGGGGAGGGGAGCCACCAGATACACCTGAACTAAGTATCAGATTGACTTGCAATCGGTGCGATAGGTAGGGAATGACATATGGAATGAACCCAGGCTTTGGTCCCCAACCAGTGGGATGGTTTACAGCTTGCAAGTAAACCAACCACATCCCACAAACCATGGGGAAATGACTATAAATTAGTGAGTTCCCTTGATTTCCCTTGCTCCCCTACTGGCAATATTTAGGGCATCCACCGCAATTAGAGACATTTGTTGGGTCATTTTAGGCCTTGGATCTTGCTTTGGATCATCGCACCGACCGGGTGCCGGCTTGGTTGGTTGCAGGGACCTAAACGCCTTAGCTGGCGATGTGTGTTTCTTAAAAGGGCCGAAAGCAGGGCAATGCTTACGGAAACCTACTGAAATGATGTTACTTTGTAAGCGACTAGCAACCATAAGGCCCCTAACTGGGTTATAACCATGATTATCAACTACGAATCAAGAACCATCCCTTATCATACTCAGGATGCTTGACAAACACGCGGGGTGCCATTCCCACATTCCAAAATGAGCCCTACTAAGAAAAACAAGGCACAAGGGAACCCGTTGTGGGATGGCTTCCAAGCGAAACCACTTTTGTGTTGGTCCAAAAAGGTAATGCAGAAAAGGCGTCTTAATACGCAAAGCCTGTCTGCAGTAGGGAACAAAACGGAGACCCTGGCACCTGCCATCAAACGGGAGAAAAATCAGGTAATTAGTCCCCGGTTCGTTCCCTTTAAACCATCCAAAAAGGGAAAAAGCACTTGGAGGCAACTCCATTTATCGAATATCTCTGTGGCTCGTAAAATACCAACCATCCACACTCACTGTTCAGCTCAGTTGAGAACCAGCAAGTTTGTCAAACACGGAATCTTTTGTTGTACCCTCCTGCACATGTTGCTTGGGCCAGTTTGGAAAAGCAGAGCATGACACAAACCAGCGAGGCTTCGAAACCGAAAGTAATTAAACCAGTTTGGAGGGACGCTAATTCACACAAATAAGGTTGTCCGCGGACTGTGGCACCCGCTCCTCCAGCGCTGCTTTGGATTCCAACCTTCGCAAAGGCAACGAAGCGATCAAATGATTCGAATGAGTTCATGAAACTGGACTTGGGCTCTCCAGGTACACTGGGTGCCGTGAGCGCGAAAAAAATGGATCGCTCGCTCTGAGGCGCTTGCTCAAAGTTCTGGCTCTGCAAGTGCTGCTCCACTGCTGCCACATCCTCCTGAGAGCTGAAAAGCCCACGTGTGCTTCGGGTCTCGACCCTGACCCGAGCAAGTCATGGGAGCCCCTATCGGCTGGCTGTGCTTTTATGCTTTTCGGAAGTGACGATTCCCTCGGAAGGCCGGAGAAAGCAAATTGCCCCGGTGTCAACGGCACATCGGATGCCAACACCTGCCACATCATGACATCAAGTCTTGTTCCACTCAGTTGTGCCAAAGCAGTCCAAAAGATCCGTAATGCCCCCTGTGAAAGAACACATGGGACTCAATTCTCTCGCAACCCGGAGGTGTCGAGATTGCCTTCCTCTCGCAACCCGGAGGGTCCTGGGAGACATTCATCAGCTTGCAGAGCTCTGAGACCTGGGCGTGCGGAGCGGGGGCTTCACAAATTGGGTCTCGACCTTTTTGGGTCTCGAGGGATGGGTGAATTCAAGTTGGAGGGTCCTTTGGTGGACATAATTTACATATGTCCACACACCATTCTTGCTGGCGTTCCAAGTGAACATGCATTGCCACATGACACTGAAACAAGGCTTAGACGGGGCCAATCGCTGAAAGCGTCAAAGGCGCGTAGTTGTTTGGAGGCCATGGTTTTCATTGCTCTCAAATTTCAAGAGGTCGCGAAAGTCTCGAACTTGGGCCCCAAGCACCATCCTGCTCGAAGAAGCAAAGCTGGCGATGAAAGACGTCGAGTCGATTCGCTTCAAGCGTACTTACAACTATGGCAATAGGTCAATAACGTGCAACCATGGAGGTGATAATGACCATATTGTAAGCCAAGGGACTTATAAGTGCCTCGAGAAAGGCAAAACGGAACTATGGAATTCCGCTTCCCGCCCCTGAGAGGATCTCGGACAAGCCAATGGCTGGAGTTGCTTTTAAGGTACTGCACAACCTATTTCTAGCTCCCCGAGACCAAGCAAGGGTTGCGCCGGCCTTGAAGGCGCATAGCAGGGAGGCCCGCGCCTGAGTGGGTTCTCGCCCTGACACCATGCAAAGAAACACATGAGCACTCACATGTTGTTTGCTGGCAAGGGGCAAACAGGCAGTGGTTAACAGAACGATTGGGCACCCTCATGTACTCTAATGCTTTTGCCATTGCCCTGTTGGGTATGCGTCAGTCAAAGCAGAACCATTTCTTGATGGTTGGCAATGCTTGTTGCGTCCCTTCTACATGGACAACCTGGTCGACTTTGGGCTCTACCTGAGCTTCTCCGGGGACCCCGTTTGAAGTCCAACTTAATCATTCATCCCCAGTCCCAACCCCCACCCCGTGAAATTCAATTTACCTCAATCTCCCCTTTTCTCCAGGTGTGTCAATCTTGGTTGACGTTGGAAGGGGAGCAAAACAATTTAGATGTTGGCAGGTCAGTGGTTGGATTTCAACCGTTTCAACCACTAAACCACAACAAGCAAACATGATTCAAAGGTTTCCCCACCACAACCTTCAACCACTGAACCACAATAAGCAAAAATGTAAAAGCCGTTTCCCCACAACAACCCTGCCATGCTCCGGAAACCTCGGCTTTTCCCTCGCCTGGGACCTCGCCCCCGAGCCGAGGCTTTGGGCTCCAAGCCCAGCTCGGCGCCACCGTGTCTCCCAACAAAACTCCTGCCGCTCGGCGCCGCGAAGGCGGGAGTTTCCCCTTGAAAATGGACGCGAACCCAACGGGGAAACCGAGGATTGGTTTGTTCCCTAGGTTGAGTTGTGCGGGGAGAAGCGGAGAAACCAAAGATCACTAATATATATATATATATATATATAATATATATATATATATTAATATAATACATATATATATATATGAAACCATCCGAAAAGAAAAAAAAGAAGAAGAAGAAGAGAAAAGCGTCCGGAACCCAGTAAAGTGAGGTTCCCCTTGACAGTGAAGGACAACATAAGAGGGCTGATTTGGGCGAGGGCATCCTTGGGGAAGTCTGTGAAAAGCTGTTTCGACATTGCTATTTTGTGGAATCTCGTGCTCAACCCAACTTGCCACAGGATTTGGCCACGGAAAATCCTGAGTTATGCGCATTGAGGGGGAGAGAGGCAAGGGAATCTAAATCTTGAGACTTAAGCAACCTGAGAGTTTGCGGGCCCAAGCCTGCCCCTAGCACCATCTCCGCCGAGAACGAGTCAGTGAGGATTCCCTCAGAACGAAAATCACGGGTTCTCAGTCCCGAGTTGATTTTCCGGGGCCTGACTGGGAAGGCTCCCATTCAGCGAGTCGTTGCTGGACCCCGCACAGCAACTCTCCCCAGCCTAAACGGGCCATGGACCATATCTGATTGTGGCCATGTCCACTTAAAACCCACGAGGAACATTGAAATTATTTAGCTAATGTTCAAAAACATGGAACCCACACGGGTTGTGCTCCCTGCCGCCTCTCTCCCCCCTGCTCCTTGACCGGAGGCCCGGCGCTCGGAGACTCGCCGCTCCGTGGAAGCTTGCCGCTCCGAGGATTTCCGGGAACCTGCCCGGAAACTTGCGCATTGCCCCAGGTCAGCAAGAAGACAGCGAGAAGACCGCCTGCAACTTCTACACCCAACGCAACTTCCAGGGCTCCCTATATTTCCCCTTAAAACATCACCCCCACCAAGGGATACTCACCTTTCATGGGCCAAAAAGGTGATGTTTAAAACAGCCAAAAAGGGAACTATAGGGACCCCTGACTTCCCCTCGATTCTCGCAAGGCAGCCAGCGCTCAAGGCAGTTAGAGATCAAAGGACTCAGCCAGAAATCAACATCCCCGCCCAGAGGCTCCCGATTGATTTAGGGCCTTCAAACACCCTGGCTTTGAGACCCCCAACCACCTCCGGGGTGTCTAATGGAGGGGTCGGGTCTTCCATTGAAAGTCCCAGGAGCCTCTGGGCGAGTCAAAAAACCCAGGACCAAGGGGGAAATGGACGGAAACGGATCCGGGGGGCACCTGGACCTTGGTCTTTCCACTGAACCTCAGACCCAACCAGCCCGTCCCCTGAGCGCCTGTTTCCTCCGGATTCAACCTCAGTGCCGCCGGAACAAGAACGTCGCATCGGCTTCAACCTATCGAAGCGCATGGAACCCACAGGGGGAGGCTTCCGAAAGGAGACTTCTCAATTCAAGCGGTGGCACTTTGGGGTTACATGTTACCCTCTTTCCAATGGAAGTGGACAGGGTTCAAAGGGACTGTATTGGTCCCAACCCCTTCTGTCATTGCAGGGAGGGTCATCATAGGTCATCTGCAGCCAAGGCCGCGGGCCCGGTGACGCTGGATTTTCTCAGCACATCCTGCCTGAGCCAATGGCCAAAGCCAAAACCCTCCCCCCCAAACAAAAAGAAGGAAACAAGATATGTTCATCAAGCAAAAAATGGACAATGAAAGGCAATGGTATGCAGGAAGCGTAGAAAGTGTATACAATAAATAGCAAACGAAAAAGTACGTCAACAGTACATGAAAGGTATAAACACAGCATGTACGAAGTATGGACGGTATATACATGGCATGATGTATATACATAAGCTGTGCCACCATCAAAAGGGGCCCCTCAAAAGCTCTTTCTGTCAACCTCCCACGACAAAAAAGCCATGTTCAAAAAATGAAAGAGCTCTGCCTGGCAAATGACCCCGGGGATGTGATCACCAGTCTGTGCTTATTTTACAGCGCCTCGCTTGGTCCAAAACTGCTGGATGTCATTGAGGCCGGGCAAAAGGTGCGTGACAGGCGTATGATAACGCAGCATATGGTATGACTGATCTATGAAGTGCTAGATGGGTCACGGCCCAATTTGATTTGCACCGAGCAATGTAAAGCTCAAACACTCAAACATCCAGGCCCCACCCCACACATTTGCACTCAAACAAAAGCCAATGTGCTTCTGTCTGACATCTTTGATCCACACATGGCATGGACAGTGGCAAGGGTGACATGTGTCGAGGGGAATCCTGCTCAAACAAAAGGCAAAACGGGTGGACAACACTCAAGGAATTGTGGCGACCCTTTAGGATGGTGTTTCAAGGAAGTCCAAAGAAAAGCATTGCCGGCAACACCCAAATCTAGCACGCACGAGGATAGTTTTTTTCCTTGTTACCCTACTATTGGGGAACCAGTCCATTGGATACATTGACCCTGGAAGGAAACCAAGGGGATTCAAAGGGAGCCCCTTCGTTGAGTCAAAAGGCTTCATCAAAACGTAGCCCCCCCCATCTGCGCCTGTGAAACCTTTCGGGTCCCGGGCCCGCTAGTGCGCTTCTCCGGGCCCCTCGGTCGAAGCCGGGCACAACTCAGCCTCTCTGTTGCTCCAGGTGCAAAGAACTTGGAAACCTGGAAACGGCTCGGCAAGAAGTGAACAACTTGTTGTGGGTCCAATGGAAATCCGACCTGTTTCGACCAACAACTTAAAGTCCAAAGATCCGGTACCAGAGCCATGATTGGACACCAGCGCAGTGAATTCCATCTTTGAAGAAGTGACCAAACCATGGCTTTGGCCCTGAGCTATCAACAAAGCTTCAGCAGCTTTCCGGCCCTCCAAACTTCAGGGTCTGATGAAGAGCTGACTTGGTCGACCTTCCCCATCCAAGGGGCTCGAACCTCGGAAGCTGATGCCAGTAAAGCTCCTCACATGGCATGGGGCCCAGTTTCAAATCTAGCTTGGCTTTCACTTCGTTGACTACTCCCCCCCCCCCCAACCCAATTTACCTCCGGTGAACCCCGCTTTAGACCCTTGTTCCCAGACCATCGACCTCCGAGCCCTGGGCAGGGTGTTGAACACGGAGCTGGACACGCGGCCCTTGCCCCCTCGCCGCGCGCCCCGCACCTAGGAATTCCGGGGAAGGGACGTCCCTGAGATGGTGGGAAACGGGGACAACCCAAGCATCTCATGTGCTTCCAAGTCACAGTTGGATCTTTTCTGACCCAAGCCTGTTGTGCTTCCAGTATCTTCCAGTTGGAGGTAAAGGATGTTTACCTCTGGGCTGCAATAGTCTCTCCTTACCATATTCTGTTGTGGCAAATGGAAGCACTGGGCGATTCAAGAGAAGGTTGCCTCACACAGGAAAAGGATAGCACCAAGGAAAAGGCAACCATTTCAAAGCGAAACTGTTGCCTCGCAACTAACACCATTGACTCATGGCGTGCGAGGTGAGACTGTTGCTCCATTTGGACTCGAAACAAACTTGTTTGGTTGAAATTTTGAGGGGTGTCACAGGAGTTCAGAGGCAACCCACCCATCTGGAGTTCTAGTGTTGACCACCCCTTGCGAGGATAAACTGAGCCATGGTCCATGCCCCGTGAGGAAACATTTACGGAAAGCCGAAGGCGGCGAACCATGGATGTCGCTTACCGACTGGGCTTGCCCGTCTTTTGCGTTTGGATTTCCCTTTCAAGCTGCCGAAGGGCTTTGCCGCGGCCCTTATGATGAACCCAGGTACCTCAGATTCAACCAACGCCAAAGGGAGTAGCCGCAGATTGCAGGGTGGACCAGAGCTGAGATCACCTTTGTCCCCGATGCCATGGACCTTTAACCGACGCGCCCGAGTTCTACAGTCCGCGGGGACCCCCAAAAACCGAAAAACTGGCCGCATGCTTTGTCCCTGACGCCCAGCTCAGGGGAAATTTGGGCAAAAATCCTCCAACCAAAAATGGGAGGCTTCCACGTCGCTCGCTTCCGCTCCAAAACCCTTGACCTGGATCATGAGCTTCGCGGTGGTCTCGCACAAAATCCGCAGCGGCCAGAGCCTCAGTTTTGGGAAAGACACGAGGCGAAGCGCTCCGAGTCCGAGGAGCGCAGGTCCCTTTCGTCCCTTTCGTCCCTTTGTTTTCTTTTGGGGGGGGCCTCGAACTCCATGCCCCAAAGATGGGCCCAAACGTGTTCAACATCAAGGAAACATCGGCAAAGGAATCCCAGTCAAAGAACTTTGGTTCAACTCACCCGTGCGGATTGGCAGTGAAAAAGCAGCCCGTGTTTGTTTGGCCACACAACAAGGGACCAAAAAGCAAACAAGTGCGTGGCGCGATTTTCCCCAAACACCGGCTGGAGTCAAAATTATCCATCTGCCGCTTGTGCTTTCCTTTTTGAACCCGTTTGTCATACCTCCAGAAAACAAAAGGGGACACGAACACACTTGCAAACATCGGAGTACAGTCCCCTGGAGGGCGAACCACTTCCTAAGTTCAAGTAACAGGGTCTGGACCCTAAATCTTGCCGAGTAATCTGGTGCGCATTGGGTTGTCGCACCAGCAAATTAACATGTAACCCAAAAAACGGGGGTCCAAAAATGATGGGTCGTGCTGCTTCCATTGTCAAAACAGGGTTGATGACCCCCCCTCCCAACTCCAAGCAAAAGAGTGCTTGATCTGCGCCATTGAACATAAGGCTCTGAAGGGGCTTCTTTGGAACTGCCTGAGAGGTTTGCCACGACAAAGCTGGAAGGTACACAGGTTCGCTGCGGCTTCCATGAAACATTCCCCATGCAAGGAAGGCTCGCTTAGGAACGGCTAACAGGGCTATGTTGCAATCCACTTGACATGATCCCTGCGAGATTCTGCCAAAAGCCCTCGCTATCAATTGGTAGCCCACGCTGCGCGGATCTCAGAATTCGCTGGGCGCTCTGGCGGCAAGCATCCAGCCTGCGAGAACAGGCAGGCAGGCATCAGTCCATCTCACCCATTGCCACGAGGACTTGTGGGCGGCCTATCTACTCCGTCGGGAACGGCACAAGAGCTGTGATATCCAATGTTGGATTTCAGAAACAGAGAACCATCCCCTGGCAAGCACGCACAAGTACACTTTTTCGCTCTAGAGCTCCGTTCTGTGCATCATGCCCTTCAGCAGCTTTGCCACGCGGCGGTGCCCTGCCTCCTCTGCTAGCTGCAGAGGCAGAGTTTCACCAGCGAATGGGTCGGCCCTCCAGGCCAGCAGCTCTTGCACCGCACCAGTGTGCCCGGCTTCGGCCGCATCGTGGATAGCTTCGCCTGCACCCGGCAGCCGCTCTCGCAGCTCTGCGCGTGCGCCAAGCAACGCCCGGAGAACTTGAACATGTCCAAGCCGCGACGCACTGTGCAAAATCGGCTCCTGGTCAGGCTGATGCTTTGGATTCAGGTTCGCACGTTGTTGCAGGAGGAGTTGGACCACCGGGCTCTTTCCAGCAGCCACAGCTGAGTGGATTGGACTAGTGTGCGGCTCTCCAAGGCGGTCCACATGGTTGACGTCGGCTCGCAGCTGCAGCAGGGTCTCAACCACAGTCAAATGGCCCTTGTGGCAGGCAATGTGAAGGGCTTCATTCGGCAAAGCCTTGCGCTTCACCAGGAGACGGACCGCCTCGTTGTGTCCAAATTCTGCAGCTAATTTCAGCAGCGCGAGCGCGTTGCTTGACCTTGCCTTCTTCTTCAAATGGCTCAGGTTGCCAATCGATGCAGCAAAGGTTGTCTCATCCTCTCCGGGCTCATACTGTTGCGCGCCCAAGGCAAAGGTCCACTCATCCTCGTCGAAGGTGGCGTGAAACCAGCGCTCCGGCAGCACCACAATTTCCCCAGCCCGCTGGAGGCACGTCTTGACGCCCGGAGTCTGCCGCAACGCGCGGCGGCTGTGGTGCCGAAACGCGAGGCCCTCCTGCTCGGGTGGGAAGACGAACCAACGCTTGGAGCCTGCGAGCAAGCCCACCCAGCTGATCGAGTGCTGGTGAAGCGCGATCCCTTTGGTCTTGGAGCCCAGCACAATGAAGCGGCTGCTCGCACTGTACTTCCACAGGGCCTCGGGAATCGGGAAGACCTCCAAAAGCTTCTGCTGAAGGCTGTAGTGCTCGCCGTCGTGCAAGAAGGAGAAGGCGTAACGGGTGCTTGCAGATTCTTCCCAGGAATGCACCCAGTCTGCGATGGTTGCCAGGAAGCTCTCTGGCTTCGTTCCTGACAGGCTCTGCTTCTCCACTTCTCGCGTTAGCAGCATCGTCTCGTTGCCAAAGGTCTGCAGAAACGGGGTCTTCTGTGCCTGAACCAGCAAAGGATTGAGAAGACCACTGCGCAGGATGACAGGCTCTGGAAGATGAGTCAGGTCTTCCGTCAAGTCTTTTATTACCCGGAAGTCGCACGCGTAGGCGCAAGGAATCACAAACAAACGCCATGCCATCTGTGTCGGTGATGAGCTTTGCACCAGCTGATTCTTGAGAACTTAACGTAGCTCTCCAATCCTTCTTTACGCCGTATTGGTCTTGGGCCAATGCATTCACTGGGAGCACTGCCGCCATGGAGTGTTCATGAGTGTTCCATTGCATTGGGAAGGAAGTGTGTCCCGCCTCGAGCTTGCGCTTGCAAGTCAGCCCGCTGGCCTGGCATCGAGTGCAAGGGAGAAGAAAACATGGCGGACGTGCTGACAGCTTTTCGCAGGGCAGGCGGGCAAGCCATTTTGCCAACTCAAGTGCGCGTGCGTATGTGTCGAAGGTTGGACCCCGCTATGGTCTCTCCCCCTTGGTCAGTCAATGGTGTTAATCAGGGCATACGTCAAAACGAGGACTCGACCACTCCAAACTGGCAACGGCAACGTGCACTTCCTCTTTGTGGTGTGGACCCTTTTCAGCAATTGCCCTTTGGGCCCGTTCCTGGGGGTGTCCTTCGCTTTTCCACACAAGTGGCCAGTCAGTTAAATCCACGCGTGCTAATCCCCCATACTGGCCCGGTTCCGCAGCCTGACAAACAATTTGGCTAAGACCATTCACACAGACATGGAACCTGACATACCTTCCGGAAGAACATCTCCCTTACAGACACAACGCCGGTGAGTTCCAACTTCAACTTGTCACTTAAGGTCCAAAAGCGGGAAATCGCGGGACCCATATCCCCCCCGCCTCGCAAAAGCGCCAGGCGAAGGCTGCCAGGCGAGCGGTGGACTGGCCGAACGCCCACACTCTGAAACTTCCCGCAGGCTTCCCGGGGCAGAGCTATCCCAGCCGCTCGCCCGGTTTGTCACAAAACATTGGATGGGCACCTGACAAAAGGCCCTCGGTTTTGCTCGCCAAAAGATTCACTCGCGACCTGCCAACCGGCCTTGGCGATGATGGGCCGTGAGCTGCTGGACAGGAACCATAGCCTCAGCCGGAGGTGGGGGAAGCAAATTGGCTCGGTGGAAAACTCTGAGTCTGACTCACAAGGCCCGGGGGCCAACCAAGGCCAGCTCAAAAAAAGGCAAACGCCAGCTCACTTCCACCCATCTCGTCCCTCTCCTTGTTTGCCCCCAGCCAAACTGTTGGAACCGAGCCGGGGCCGGCGCTCGCAGAGCGCCTCCAGGCTGGGGCTGGGCAAAGTCACCGGGCGGAAGGCTTGGAGCAGCAGCCTGGAGCTTCGTTCGGAGCCGCAAGCAGCGGAGCTTCCAGATACTGTGGACGAAATCCATTTCGCACCACCTTGCAATCGTGGGACATTCGTGTTTGTTGGTAGTTACAGGGGCATCATTTTTCCGGGTTTTCTTACGTGGTGCAGGATTTCGTCCATCCACAGTATCGTCTTGCTGCGATAGGCAGTGCATGAGAAATGGAATGACGAGAAGAACCATCCAACTGGTGGTTTCCTTGGGGACCGAAGCCTGTGTTCAATCCCACATTCTCTACCGAGCACCAGCAAGTCATCGGTGTTGCGTTTCTCAGTAGAGTTCCCTTTTGATGGCGATTTGTTGGGGAATAAAGGACATCAACCAGAAGGAGTCCCCAATTTTGAGAAAGTCAGGAAAGGCTGAAATGGACCCGTGCCAGTTCAGCGTTTGTGGCTTGGTTGAGGTTCCAAGGGCCTGACCCCTTAAAGAATTGCCATTAACAGCTAAGGGTCCATAGAATTCCTCAAACGGAAATAAGCCCAAGCTCAGCATTCCCCAGCGCAGTCGCTGCCCATCTCAGAAAATGCCCCATCCCAATTGGTGGCTTGGGGATTTGATTGAACCCCTGGTTCTTGACAGGAAAGGGGCAACCCCTCCTTAACCCGCCAAACCACCAATGCTAACTAGGGCGAGACTGAAGTTGACTTCTGATCCCGGGCGAAAACATCAACCAAATCCCAGAGGGCGGCCCGGTTCAATCACGCCGGGCGGGCAGGGGCAGCCGCTGCGGTGCCAGCAGCGCCTGCCGGGCACACGAGCTCATGGGGCAAAGCAACCATGGGCCTTTTGAAGGAAAAACAGTTGCTTAAACACAACTAGCTCTAAACAATCGAAGGAAGTTTAGCAGGAACTTCTGTGGTGCGGCAACTCATTGAAGCTAGCTCTCTGACAGCTGTCTGAGTTAGATGACAAGAGCAGAACAAACACAAGCGAACAAAATGCGTGCGTGTGCTATGCAAAAAGCGTGCAACCCTCTGCGGGTTTTGGTGCTTTGGGATGTCGAAAGTTAGCCTGATCCTGACGCCTGGTCAGAGTGGGCAGATTTCGTGGCAGCCCCACTACTTTCGCAGTGCTTTCCAAGGGTCGGGTACAGATTTCGTGGCAGGCGCAGCGCTTTCGCAGGGTCAGGCACAGATTTGGCGGCAGGCACACATTCGCAAGTTATGCACAGATCTTCTGGCAGATAGACACAGAAGTAGAGAGAGAGAGAGACAGACAGACAGACAGACAGACGGACGGACGGACGGACAGACAGGCAGGCAGACAGACAGACAGACAGACAGACAAACAGGCAGGCAGGCAGGCAGGCAGGCAGACAGGCAGACAGACAGACAGACAGGACAGACAGGACAGACAGGACAGACAGGACAGACAGGACAGACAGGACAGACAGGACAGACAGGACAGACAGGACAGACAGGACAGACAGGACAGACAGGACAGACACGATAGACAGGACAGACAGGACAGACAAGACAGACAGGACAGACAGAACGGACAGGACAAACAGGACAGACAGGACAGACAAGATAGATAGATTAGATTAGATTAGATTAGATTAGATTAGATTAGATTAGATTTAGATTAGATTAGATTAAATTAGATTAGATTAGATAGATAGATAGATCGATAAGTAGGTAAGTAGATAGACCGGATAAATGTATAGTTTAGAAAGATAAATGGATAGATAGATCGGACAGATAGAGAGATATACATTGAAATTTCATGGAAAGGTAGATAGATAGAGAGCGAGAGAGATAGAAAGTGAGATGCAGGGGGTCAGACGCGCCCGCGCCCGCGGCTGCCCGCACACCGCCCGAAAAGAAAAGAACGACAGATGGAAAGAAAGAGCGAAAGAAAGGAAGAAATATTCAAAAGAAAGGACAATAAAGAAAACAATATAGCGAAAAGGATCACAAACAGCTAGAAGAGAGAAAGAAAGAATAAAATTAAGAGAAGGAGAACTATATGTTCAGCAGGCTGGCCCGCCCTGCCCAACATCGCAAAGCGGAACCCAAACAACGCTTCAACGTGTTGCAACATGGTTGTTGCTCAAGGGAAGTCTTTGATGGGAAAAAGCTGCATGATCGAAAAGAGTGAGGCATCAGAACCAGACCGCTTCATTATTACCTCCTCATGCTGAGCGAAGCATTGCATACCGTTGGACCGCAATCGACAACCGGTGCAAAGGAATCCCATGTCAAGAATCACGAGAGCTGCCGCCTTTAGGTTTAGGGTTGGGCATGACCAACTTAGAAAGTCTGAGAGCGAACTATGTTGTTTACAAACAAGCTGGTTACATTCCAAGTCAGGGCTTGAAGGGTGGATTGAAGGCTCCGAACCGATCAAACCACCCAACTCTCTGCTAAATCATCTAAAGCACCTCGGCCCCAGCTTCTGCTTCTGGGAATGACTTTCGCTGCGCCCAAAACGATTCGACGCGGCCTGGTGACACTCCAGCGTCACCCAGCCCCAGGCGCCAGGCGTGGCACCGGCCTTCCGGCTTCCGACGACCATTATATATATATATATAAATATATATATATATATATATTGCCATGGGTCAAAACCCGAATCGTACCCCCAGTTAACATCCGATTCAATCCCCACTAAAATAGGTTCTAAAACGGGTGGTGAATTCACCTACCCCAAAATGGGATCCCATTGGTTTTGACAACCACAGCCATACACACGCCTATGTACATATTCTGTGCATTTATAGCTGGGGTGGAAACTCTCTACCCTCGAGCGAACGGTCGCTGATGACGTGGTTGTTTCCTGCAACAGATCCCTCGAGGTTGGGGGGGGAGTACGCATAGCGACAGGCGGGCGACACCAGGGGCCTGCAAGTTCACTCGCGCCATGTTCAAGTGGCCTCAGTCCCATCAGGAAAAAGGGAAAGCCAAAAACGGAGCTGCTTTCAACCGGGGAATCCAGGCAGTTTTGGGCAGGGACCACCAAAAAGTGGAGACTCTCGGCTCTGTTCATGGCACTGAAATCCCAAAATCCTGAGCCCCGGGCTGTGCAAGTCCTGGGCCAACGCTGACAGGACTTGCACCTGAGACCGCGCAAAGCCAATCCGCCGAATGCCCAATCCGACAAATAGGAATCGATCCCTGGTTTTGGACCCATTTCCACCAGGAGACCCTAATCGAGCGCTGAAAACGCGAGAAACAAAAAAGGAAATTCATCCTTTGTTGGGCCAAAAATACAACCAACTCGTATTTGGAGGGGTTGAGTCTCAGTCACGATCCGGGCAAAGAGCTGCTGACGACTCTGCGGACATGTTGAACACTGCCAATGAACAAGGCTACAAGCAGACAGAAAGGTGAGCACTTCGCATACATCACTTGGTTCAAGAACAATGTATGAATTGCCAAGTTCAGCTTCACCAAGCAAAGGCACACTCATACCACAACAGCCCCGCCAACCCGCCAGGCGAAACAACCCAACAAAACGGAGAGACAAGAACCCAAAAACAAACCAACCAACTCAACAGAACAACCAACAACGACACACACACACACACACACACACACACACACGCAACCTGTCCGACAAACGCGCCCGTCTCTGTGCTGGTGCTGGGGTGGGTACGTGTGTGGAGGAGTCCAGCGAGATGGTGAGCCAGGCGCCGGCAAGGGCCGCCCCCTCCTGAGCGAGCTGTGCTCCCGTGAGTTGCTTCCAAGGACATCGCATGGGTCATAATCAAAACAGTATTAAAATGGTCTACCCAGGACCACGTTAAGAATTAAGAAAGCGGCCGCAGCTATTCATGCTTGCGATTGTCTCTTACAAACCTTCATCTGCCCCGGTTTTCATTGTGGCTCACATGGCTGTGGGTCCAAAATTAGGGTGACCCCAACATGGAACCCTGGCAAATGGAAAGGACTGAAACCTGCGGCCCCGTGGCTTAATATTGACCCATACCCACATGGAGAACAGAAAGATCCAACATCAATTCAATAGTCTACCCTTGCGGTTTGGACTTTGTGAGGGCAAATCAAAACAACAAGGAATCTTCATTGCCTAACACAAGAAGAACGGGGGAGACTGCGGGCTCAACCTGTGGATCCCTACATGTTCAGCCAAGACCCTCGAAACCTTCCAGATAGGCAAGCGTCCTTGAATTGCTAGCTGGTGAGGATTCTCTGTATGCGTGTCTGTTTTTGCCATCTACAGGGTGATATAATTTGCAATCATCAAAAACCAAGCTCAAAAGGAACCTACTGGGTGACATATATATATATATATACATCATAGACGTGCGCAAGTACAAACAAGTGTGGGTGTGGTCCAAATGCTTTCGGGACCCCTTTCAGGTTGGCGTTTCAAGGGAAGTTGAAAGGAAACAAACCATTGTGGGTACCTTAATCTTGAAACAACCTCACATATGTATATTATAATTTATATATATATATATATGTAATACACAAAATGTTTCAATTGATTTATCCTTTCAGCAAAGGAGCCCCAAGGATGTTTGGCGGAAAATACCCACAGGATCCAGGACAAGTGGGCGGCAAAAAGCCGTGACTGGTGTTTTAGGTGGCATTCCATAGCGCAAAGACCTGAAATGAGTTGCACGTGGGTGGATGCTTTGAATGGGAAGTGAAAAGTGGACGAATTTGAAGTGTGCGAAACGAACAAAGTAGCTGGGCCCTCGGGGATTGGGTTTAAGTAAGCTTGTTCTCCTCCTGAAACTGCCTGCTGGAACTACCAAGCTTGTCATTTGCTCGAGTCAGCCGCGCCGCAAAGCGGAAAAACTTTTTGCATTTGTGGTTCTCAAGGCTAGACCTTGTTGGTGTTTGGTGTAGGCTTCACCGACAGCCATTTAGAATTACTTCAGTGAGCATCGTCCGTTTGTCGTGAAACGTCACACGCAATCTAAACTGCTTCCTACCAAAAACAGCTGACTTCCAGCGCGACTTTGAGATGGTTCCAGCATGGCTCAAGCAAGTCTCTCTCTCTCTCTCTCTCTAGGCAAACCTCATGAAACTTGAGACCCGGACCTCCGGGGGTGCGACAAAAATGGTGTCTCTCTCTCTCTCTCGCTCTCTCTCTCTCTCTCTCTCTCTTTTTTAGCTGACTTGAAAACGATCAACCCACCAGAAAAGGGCGACTGGAGGAACTGTTTCGGCGGAAGCGCTCGCACAGTTGAGGGCCCGGCCAGGTGCTGCCACACCGCCGCCGCGGAGCTGCGCCAGTCTCAGCGTTTTCTGCCGGGGTGAATGTTGAGGCTCTGACCCCAAACTGTTTTGGATCGCAAAAAACAGAAAAAAATGGGCTCTGACTCAAATCTGTTCTTGGTTTTGGGGGGTGGCTCCTGAAGAGAAAGGGCTTGCGACCCAACTCATCAACCGGGCACCAGGGCATCCACCAGGGATTCCGCGTTTCAGGTGCAAAGCGGTCGCTCGTTTGGGAAGTGCAAAACTCCCAGGCCTTTACAACCCTTGCAACCCTTGGAACTAACTGGAGGGTTGCAAGGCAAGGGAGAAGCCTTCCAAAGTCTCAATCTGCAAGGTGCACAGTAGGCTAAGGCTTGCCCATGCATCAACCAGAAAAGCCATCGCCACCCAACTCCTTTTGTTGCTTTTGGGGGGACGGGGGGGGGGGGAATTCTTCCTTTCCGTTTCTTTTCCAGGCAAACCCCCCCCCCCGGGGCCTTTCGTGCCATGGCTTCCCAAGATCCCCACAAAAACGCCGGCACGCCGGACGGCAACGCCAAGCGCCCGGGCTCACGTCCAGCTTCTCCTGCACCGTGCCCAGCTGCCGCGCCATGGCCGCCGCCGCCTCCGCCCTTGCCGGGGACCCCGTGGACATCACCTCAGTTCCCACAACAGGCGCCAGAGAAAAGTCTGGCGGCTGGGCGGATTTTCGGTGGAGAAGTACGATTGGACTTTGGGAGAAAAAGAATAGAGGCTACTGTTTTTTTGTTTCTTCCCTTTTTTAGTACCTTGTTGGATAAGCGTTGTTTGTGTTGGTACAGTGCAGATTTAATATTCATACAAGTCCTTTTGGAGAAAAAAAAAAAAAGAGCGTTGTGTATCGGGGTTGGTTTGTTGCTTTGTTGGCAGATTTGAATTGGGTGGTTTGGTGTTGGCGTTTGTTTTGGCTGGGGGGCAATGTCAATTTCAATGTCAATGGGTCAAATGGGAACATCCTTTGGCCCAATGGCCGCGCTCTGAAGAAGCGGTTGCCTTCATGGAAAAATGGGGAAGCCAGGTTTCTGTCAGAAACTGGGCTAAGTCCCCCTACTGTTTCTCCCCATGTCTCGCCCACAAAGAGCATAGACTTCGGGATAATTTGGCCAAACCCCCCCCATCCAACTGACAATTCGCATGTCATATCTGACTGAGGCCGGCACCCCGCGGGCTGTGGCCAGGGCATGGACCATGACTAGCCTCACGCACGCGGGCGAAAGTCGGGTCCTTAAAATGAGAAGACGCCTCTCTTTTGTATCAAATAGGTTGGAGGGTGCAGGTTTGACATATACAGTGTGTGTGTGTGTGCTAAAAATGAGAAATGGCAGCGTTCGCAGCCGCAAGGTGCACCGCCTCTCTTTTTCGAAAGCCCAATGAAACATCAGGATTGGCCCTGCAGGCGAAAGGGGGAACCTGGAAGCCAGCTGAGCCTCGCTTCTCTTTGACTCATGATCCTAGCCGTCCAGGTGCTTCCAGGATACTCTTCACAAATGCTCGCAGATTTGCCCACCCGATTTTTTGGGACTTTGGGGACTGAAGACGTCCAGTGAGCATAAAACTCTCGAAGGTCAGAGGCCCCTGCTGCCCGCGCTCCGTCTGCGGGTCCCAGTACATGCGTCCTGCGGAAACTCGTACCGCCAGGGGCAAGGGGCCGAAGCTCCCTGAAAGTCAAGTGCTTCTGAAGTGGGTGACAGATGAAAGAACTGTCTACAAGATATGCGCGGCATCCATTTATGAAGATGCGAGGGTGCTGCAAGGTGCAGGCACAAACATAATTAAAAGTTGTTTCGTTGAAGTGGTCGAAGCAGCAGAGCCTGACTGCCACCCTCGGCCAACCATTGTCTTTAGCCTCACCTTCCCTCTTGACAGCGTGTGGAATCAGCTCACAAGCTTCACATTAATGACACGGGCTGGTCCCCCCAATGATTTGGACCCCGCAATGATGGGTAGTTTCGTCGTTTCGTCGTGATTTCCCTGCAAAAACCAGGGTCAAACCAGGGGTTTTCTTCAACACACGTCCGACACACCCAATTCGAGCGGATCCTGACGCCAAGCTACCCAGGTATTGCCACGAATAGCCTGGCATCTTCCAGGTGCTCGGCTTTGTGCGTGTGTCTTTTTTGATGTCACCGCTTTGTTGGGTTGATTTTAAAAGGGAACCAAGGTGAAGGTCCTTGTATTTTCAGACTTGTAACCAATATCACCCCCAAGGGCCTTAGTAGCAGAAGTTCGCAGCTGTCGTTTGCTTTTTGCTCGGAGCCTTGTCTCCATCAGCCACTTGGAAACTCCGTATAACTCCGAAACGTTCATGTGACCTCAGATCGCAATTTGCTTCGCGTTTTCTCTTCTCTCTCCATCCGAACAGGGCTTCCTTGTTTTGAGCCACCCCATATGGGGTGTCTGTCAACTCTTGGGGTGTGAAGAGCATAGCCTTACGGTCCGTGGCATGAACACGGGCGTTTATGGAATCCGGCCCGTCCTCTATTGCATGAAGCCACTGGCAAAGCTGAGTGCTTGATGCGTTCCACAGAGCTCTTTCCAAAGTTGACCAACCCAGCATCCAGGATGAATACTCGTTGCGTTCTCAACTCGCATGGCATTTGGTGCTTTTGACAAGCTTACTGATTGTAGTAGGTGGGTGTGCCCGATATCATCCACTTCATCAAGTTTCTACCGCGAATTAGCGATCAGCACTCTGACCGGGAAACAACGGGTCCTTCTGTGATCAATAAGGGGCCAAACAGACTTTTGTCAGATCTAACGGATCTGACACTCAGCTACTCAGCTAGGACTTCGTCAACTGGGAGTTAGGTTCGTAGTTCCAAGTGCAGCAGGCATATCACGGGTACCCTAAGTCACATATCGCTCCGGTGCAAAGTGGTTGGGCAAGGTTCTTCACCAAATCGCCTGCACGTCAGTTGCTCAGGGCTCCTTGGGAAGGGTTCTGTTAGCTGCCAAAGGAAACCGAGTTTGACCCGCCCTGGAAACAGCCTCAACATACTGAGCCCAGTGAGAAGCGCCAAAGGATGCTTCAGGACGGCCAGACCCCTTTCAGCCCCAGCGCCTTTTCGCATTGTGACGAAGCTTCTGCATGCAAACGAGTATGTGACGTCAACTAGGGCCAGCTGCCGAGTCATGGGACACGTAAGGGGGAGCCTCACCCCCCGTTTTCCTCCTGTTCCCATCGCGCACGAAACCAGTTTCCCACAAGACAGGCATCCACCAAAACCATAGCCACAACTTGGACTTGGCAAGCTTTCAGCCTTTTGCATTCTACGGCTAAAGGAGGCTGGTGAGAAGTTCGGAGCGGTTAGCTGCTGCGGACTATGGGAACATTCCTCAGGCAGCCTGCGTGTTCTATGACCTCAAGCAGGCTGCCGCACAAATGCGCAACCGGGACAGGACAGCATGCACAATCATACACGCACAGTTGGAAACGCTTCCATGGTGCTGTGCTTTCCCAACCCAGGGACTCTCTTTTGTGTCAAATTGCCGAAGGTGAGTGGTTTCTCGTGGCATTCTGTAGCTGTGCTGATGGGTGGTTCCTCAAACTAAGGCAGCCGTATCGAGGCGTTCAAAAGGAAACCGGCCAGTCAGGCTTTGTCTTTTGACAACCTTTTGGACATAAAGACACGCATAAGGAGAGAAACACGCTGATGGGCTCCTTCATTTTCCTGAAAGGGAACTCAAAGCCAATCTGACCCTCAAACAAAAGCGCCCTCAGTGCACTTGGCAAGCCCGTCGAGTCCGAAATTCAAATCCGAGTCGCACCACACCGCAGATGTGCCGATCCTCGCAAACGTCGGCGCCCGAGGGGTTGCCTGGGCAAAACCCAGAGCGACATTCCCCCCGACGTGGACACCACCACAAAGGACTGCTCTGGAGTATGCAGCGATCTTTGCGGATTCAATTTGGAGATCTTGGCTTTCAGGTCCATAAGGTCCTAGTAAACAGCATGAGGCATTCTCTCAAGTGATCCAAAGACACATCAGCTGCACGGTGCTCACCTGTCGAAAAGCTCAAGAGTCGTATTTTCTCATCGAGGAGCCTTCCAGCTTGAGGGTGCACTGGATGCCCATG